GGGGTGCTCATAGCTGACCTTCCCCAATCGTACCCAAGTTCCCGAGCCAAGGCAACTTTGGTGATGACGGACACGTGGCCTTTGGCACCGAGTCAGGGTTTCCTAAATTTCCCATTAAAAAAACATTTAGGTGGCGACTCTGTATCTGGCAAAGCAGTCCATGTTTGGCACTTCTTTTAAAAATCTGTTTTCTCAAAACGATTTGCCAGATTTGGACTCTTTGGTTCAGATTAAGAACCGTGACTACAAGTCGAGTCCGAGCTGTAGCGAGGTCCCCCGCGGGCTTGTTACAGTCATGCAATTTCAATTCTTCCAAACTTAATACGACTCTGATAATCCCTAGGTTGGTGTTTGCAAATAGGCTATACACGTACTACCAATTTATCATTTTTACCAGCATTGACTAGAAGGCTCGACACTTATAATCTGTCATTTTTACCAGTATTAACTGGAAGGCTCGACACCTATTCAATTTCATCTACACCACCTGTCAAGACTTACCACTATATTTACCCCAAAACCAATTCATGGAAACTTGTTTCTCAACATTCTTTTCTCACTGCAAGTTTTCAAATCAATTTTCAAAATTTAATGTAATCAAATGAATTGATATGCCAATAACACAAGATGAATATAAATACTTTTATTCCAATTCATCGTCCAAGGAATTACACAATTCCCTCTTCTCAAGTATCCTCAACAATTAGTCATTTCAAGACTATTTCAACGTTTTGAACAATAATTTCCAAAATGAACAACAGTTCTCATATTCCCTGAAATTCATCATTTATATAAATATAAATAAGAAATTTTCCAAACATCCATTTATTTTGACACACAAAATAAATATAACAATATCATTCATGGATTTTCAATCTCTTTAAAAAAATCCCCAAATTCTAGGTTTTCTCACCAAAACTATACAACTCAAATCTTTCAAAACAAAACTTTCCAAAATCATATTTTCTTCAATCAACGAAGATCAAAACCCATAAGATCATTTTAAAAGAACAAGAGACAAACTCACTTTCAAAATCGCTCAACTTCTTGAATTAACAATCAATTTTCAAAGCTATCAAAGGATGATTTCGAAAATCATCTAGATCTTGCAGAAATATATATATATATATATATAACTCTAAGAAAATCCCTACCTCAAGTTTCAAAGAAGAAATGAGATGAAACCCCCAAAATCAACGGTGTCGAAACTCAATCTTCACCACACACAACGAAGCCCTCTTGAAGTTAACCAACTTTGATGAAGAACATATGGCAGAACTTTAATGGATCTTGAGAAATCAAGGTTTTGATCCAATTTAGCGTAGGGAAATGTAGAGAGAAGGGAGAGGAAATGTTTTTAGGGAGAGAGATATATACAAAAGTGATCTGAAATA